TAGCATTAACTCTGTCACTGGTTTCCCCCTCTTAAAAATGTAAACTGTAAGCCTTTTCCTTTTGTGGTGGTGTTAGGAATTTACAGTAATACTTTATGCATTATGCAGGTAATCCAGAGGTATTAGGTTCCAGTCTGTGCCTTATTTTGCCATGTGACTTTGAGGTGCTTTTTTCGGAGCTTATGAGGGAAAAGTTGAAGCAACATGCAAAAAATATGTGCTTAATTTGCATGTCAGCACCTCTATTCAGACAGCAAGGCCAGCTGACATAGTTTAGCTTTTTAAATACTGCTGACTGGCTTCTTCCTACCTAGGCTTAAGAACTTAGAAAATATAAAGCCCAAACTGACTGGAGCTGAGGAAACTCTCGTGTGCCTCTCTTTTATGCAGTTGGCAAATGTGAGTTCTCGGATATAAAGGGTTTTGCAAATAACATTTGAATGTTTGTGTTTTTTTGACTTGAGACCTCACAAATTTCACATTTAATTAATCAATCTTCCCATTAACTGTCCAGATTCACAAATAAAATTAAAAAAATCCCTACAGCATGATTCTTTTGCTGCCAAATTCCTATGATGATGTGTGGTTGTACAGGGATGCTGTGAAGGTTTTCTTGTTTTGAATGAGATCCATGAATCTGGACCACTGTGTTTCTGTGTAGTTATCAGGGCGAAAGTTGTTGGAATGCAGGAGATTGACAGCGGCAATGATGTTTATGGAAATCCCATCAAAAGGATCAAATATGAAGTCAAACAGATCAAGGTATGGGGGAGGGGGGCCCTTATTTTTGTTCTTTAATGACTGCAAATAATCATCATTAATCTTATATATTATTTCTTTGAAATCTTCAGATGTTCAAAGGTCCCACTCAGGATATTGATGCCATCTACACTGCTCCATCCTCAGCGGTGTGTGGAGTGACTCTAGACACTAATGGAAAGAAGGAGTACCTTATCACAGGTAATAATCCATTTTATTCACAATTATGTATTGTAAGAATTTAAAAACTGTTAAAAATACATCTTTATATCCCTTTTAATAGAATCAAATTGCTTTTCCTACTCCATATAGTATGTTTTTTTTTTTTTTCTATAAATTTCAGGTAAACTGGAGGTGGATGGAACAATGCACATCACCTTGTGTGACTTCATCGAGCAGTGGGAGACCCTGAGCGCCATCCAGAAGAAGAGCCTGATTCAGCGCTATGAAACTGGCTGTGCTTGCACGGTACAAAAGATGTTTCTAAACTCTAATGCAGTGATTCCCACCTGGGGGTATGCATAACCCTAGTGGTCTATAAGTGCATTGCAAGGGGTGCATGAAAATATTTTATTTCTTAGGGAGTAAAATAAAATAGGGCTGGGATCTGTCTGCTTTGTTAGAACCCAATTGAAAATGTAAACAAGCTTTTATCAACCAAAAACAAAAAATTTTCTTATATGTTTGAGTTCACCAAAACGAGGCAAAGGAACATCCTGGATGTTGAGAGCAGCCTGATATCAGCTGTTTTTCACACTGAGCTATGGGAGCTTATCAAAGTAGCTCAGGTTTCTAGATGGGAGAAAAAAAGTAAAACTAATTAGGTCATTCTGACTATAATTTTTCTTTTATATTTTCTTCCCAATTCATCAAGTTTAAATGTGATTATAAGGGAGTTACTCAGAAGAGCTCCAGTTTTATAAATACAGTTTTATATTTTATTTTGTATCTTACTAACTTCCAGGCTACATATTTCTGTTTTTTTTTGTTTTTGTTTTTTTTTCTTTTGGAATGGAAAGAATGAAATGCCTAACAATTAAATACTCAGGTTAAAATGGTTTTTGTTACATAATCTGTTATTGTACTTTCCACTTTTGGACAATCATCAGTACTTTTGTCTGAGCGGAAGATAAAAATGCTCAAAGGGGAACACAAGTCAAAAAAAGGTTGAGAGCTATAAAAGTACAGCCATTTACCATTTCCTTACCTCGATCTTTTCTATAACCTTTAGATCACCCGCTGCACCTCCATCCCCTGCATGATCAGCAGCCCGGCGGAGTGCCTTTGGACAGACTGGGTGATTGAGAAGACTGTAAATGGGGAGCAGGCCAAACACTATGCTTGCATCAAGAGGAGCGACGACTCTTGTGCTTGGTACCGTGGCAGTGCGCCCCCCCGAAAAGATTTCTTGGACATTGAAGACCCATAATCCTTTTCTGTGGAACAGTCTGAAGATGGTTGCAGTTAAGATATTCAAACATGCAAAAAAATGAAATGAGAATAAAAATCATTGTACACATTCTTTTCTTTTTTTTTTTTTTTTATTGTGTGGAAGATCTAAGGGGTAAACTATGAAATATTTCAGGTTGCATGTTAAAAAGAACTCGACACCTTTACCCACTTCAACTTTTTGAAGCACTTCCTCATCAACCACTTATTCTCCATCTGAAGTGATCTGTTTAGTTTGTCATTTTATATTTTTTTGTGTGCTTATCATCCTTAATTTTTTGTTTTTTATTTTATTTTTTGTTGTGTACCGTGACAAATCTTTGATGCAGCATTCATAAACTCGGAAATTAGTCCAAATTGGCTTTGAAATAAATCCTAATTAAATAAGTATTGCTTTGAATACCAGTCTTACATTTTCAGCTCAAGGTTTAACACATTCATTCAAAAATGAGAAAAAGCACACAATCGGACCAGTCTTCTGACAAATGTTCTTTTTTCTGCAAAGGTTTTTCTTGCAAAAAAAAAAAAAAAAAATCATATTAAGCTTTTTCTTCCCCACTTGACTTGGAGGTGTTTTTTGATATTAAATGCATAAATCTTGTGCTGGTTTCACATGAGATTTTGAAAGTAAAAGATTTTTTTTACATGCATGTCCATCTTGAATGGTTTTTGTACATTTGGCTATTAAAATATAAATGCTGTTAATTGGGTGTATATTTGTCATTTAAGTATTACTACAGGAAGTATGAATTTGTAAGGTTTATCTCTTCAGAAAAGGAAAAAACTGAAAATATGGCTGACTTTGGGGTTACTGTTAAAGAAATAATTTTAGCCATAATTGAACTGACTCTTAAAAAAAAAAACTGTAAACTGCTGCCTCCTAGTGGTAAAACATTTACATACGATGAAGGTGCACGAGGCAAATCATGTGCCAAACATTATATATATATATATATATATATATGGGAAATGTAGTTAAACTGCAATAAATCCTATTGAACCTAATTTGATCAACCTGATTACATTGGGTTTTCTAAATGAAAAAAAAATCACTAGGAAGCAATAACATTCCTAGTAAGGGACTAGTACAAATGAATAGTATATTAAAATCAGTGATGCATGGCTTATGGCAGACCACAGTTGCATATAATCAAACCAGATTTCAAATTGCTGTTTTAAGTTAACTGTATTGTCGTTGTCCTATGATAAGGGCATTCTTATAAGTTAAATTGAAATTAAATGCAGCTACTTTTAGATAAAGCTTTCCATTGGTATAGTAATTTGAGGTTTACCAAAGATGAGACTGGATTGGGCAGAGTATAGTTCAGGATTTAGATAGGAAGAAATGAACAATTTCAATATTTGTCTTTATATTTAGAATAGAATAGAAAATCCCTTTGTTGTCCCACAATGGGGACATTCTGGTGTTTACAGCAAAAAAAAAAATGGTCACATCTTAGAAAAATGTATAAGGATAACATAATAGTGAGGAGTTAAAAGATAAAACACTACTGTAAAGTGTTTTAACAATGTAAAACTGCATCTGGAGAATAAATAACCAAGATCCAGCTATGGATTTTACAGTAATGGATATTTGAAAATAGCAGCAACATCAGAGATGTGCAAAATGACAGCATGTTATTCAACTGATTAGGGTAGAAACTGTGCAAAATCAGCATGAATGTAACAACTTAAGGTTGTTGGGAACAGTGGTGGTTATAGAGTCTTACAGCTGCTGGGAGGAAGGATCTGCAATAACGTTCCCTGGTGCATTTAGTGGCTAGAATGAGTATGAACGGCAGATATCAATAACCAAATATTAAGGCATTACTATTCAGCCATTTTGTTCACACATTAAATTCTTTCCAATGTGTATATATCCAACAGAAAAGCAGCCTGCTGGCTAGAGAGTTGACATTTGCAGCTCTGAGACTCACCATATAGAGAGCCTTTGAATTTTATATAATTGGGTCTTTTGTTGGCTATGCTTATTTAAAATAAATTAAAAAGGTTTATGTTATGACTCAAGATTGTTTTGTCATAACTAAAAATACAAGAAATACAAACAGGAAATTCAGTTTCACAGTGCACTATAGGTCAGCGTAATTTGTGGTTAGATCAAAACCCTTAAGGTAAAGATTATTATTATCACAGACTAGTGGTCATATATTATCCTTTCATACTTTCTGCTAGAGAACAGAATTCATCGCTCTATCAAAAACAATGTATTTATCTATTAAATGTAATTTTCTTTACACATGTCTCTAACTAAACTGTAGCAAATTGTGATCCTGTTTACTGAAGCTCTTTCTATATTATTTTGTATGTTTCTATTTTAGAACCATAATATATACAATTGTTTAGTAACATCTCTAAGATTCCGATGCATCTAATGAATAATGCATTTCACATGCGACCTTGCTCTCTGCGGGTAGAAAAAAATGCACATGAAGATGTGCACATAAATGAGAAATGTGATTCACTATTTTTTTAAAAGACTAGTTATAATTTGGAAGGCTTTACTATCCATTTTGAGAATTACCAATGATATTTCGGATATTTGGAGATAATAGCTCCCCATAGCTTTTATATGATAACGCGGCTTGCCATTTTTTCCACACGTTTTTGCTCCTTTGTCAGAAGAACTTGTCAAGCATCCACCGCGCCGATTGCGTCAATGGTAAACAGCGAGAGCTGGAAGTCACGTGCGGCTCTCTGCCGAAGCCCAGCGTCACCCGCATCCCTGATTGGAAAACGGGTTCTCTGTGACAGCATTACCTGCGTTTTGATTGGCTTTTGATAGCTGTCACTCAAACTTGTCCCCGCCCCCCGTATAATGCAGCATGGGCAAAAAATTCCAGATTCAGTAGCTACAGCTGAGGGAGCAAACTCCTGCTAGGGGGATATTTGGCCGATTAAACAAAAGGTGAGTGAAAAGTACGTGAATTCTTGTATCGCATTTTACACTTTTTTCATCGTAACGCAGGCTGTCAAAGTATAAATATATAAAGGGCTGTCAGCGACTGTTAGCATCTGGATTCCTAACGGCTAACCCACATTGCTGAGAAGACGGGGTTGTCGCCACGTTAAGTTAGCTCGCTGGCTAATTTTGATATTGCAGCTTGTTAGATACCAACACATATACGAGACTGGTTAAAAAATAAAATAAACAGAATAAAACATGTGGAAGTGTGAAGCTCCTAGGTTAAACTGCCTACTTAGTTAAAAAGCAGATGCTGAAAACTGCTGTGACGGACATTTAGCAAGCTAGCATAAAAGCTAATTAGCTGCCCCCGTGGACCAGATGGTTAACACAAGCTGCTCTGCTCTTACTTACTACTACAGAGGTATTAGTTGAATTATTTAAACGGCTATTTAGGAAAACAAACTAATATCACTTGCATTGGCCATCAAATGTTTAAACCCAGCTTACTGTTGTAGCTTTTCATCTGTTTAAATGTTATAAAGTATTTGTATGACTTAATCTAATTGCCATACTGTGAGCTCATTATGGCTCAGTTTTTAGTGTAGAAGTATAAACTTTTCTCAAACCAATTAAATACATTTGAAATAATCTAATATATGTGTTGGTAATAAAAAAAGTACCAGACTATTCTAATTTAAAAATTGCTATTTTTAATTTTGGAGGGAAGTTTATTTAAAGCAGTTCAATAAAGAAATTTAGTCAGCCATAGTTTCAAGATAATAAGGTGTAGAAAATTATATTTTCAGCAGGTATTTGCAAATTAATCTATACTATCATTATCAAGATGATTTAATAAAACTTCAAAAATCTCAATGGATGGGATTATTTTACTGCTTTAATGGCTGCAACCAGAAATGTTACAATCTTTTCAAATATTAAATGTGGACATTGTGTTGTTTGGATCTCCTATAGGTAACTAGCTCATGCAGGTGTATGTGGGACTCTTTATGCAGTGACACATTTATAGCTTTCTTGATTGATTGGGTTTATTGATCTCACAGTGGAGAAATTTACTCGAACATCAGCTCAAATAGTCAAGAAGAGAAGAAGGTGCCACAGAAGGAAAAAGGTGCATGGGATATATACAGTATATACGCTAAAAAAATTGAAATCTAGATGTCATTTTTTTTCTTAAAATAAGCGCATTTGTTCTTGAATTGAGAGGGTAAGAGACATTTTGCCAATGGAACAAAACAATTTACATTTAAAATAAGAAAACATAGCTGCATTGTCTTATTTCAAGTGCATTTTATCTAAATATCTTATTTCAAGAGTAAAAATACTCATTCCATTGACAAATCATTTCATTTACCTACTTAAATTAAGGGTAAATACACTTGATTTATGACATGTTTTGTTTTTATAGTTCTGAGTGTTTCTTTTATAGCAGGATTATTGTACAGGGTTATTACAAAGGGTGTTTACATGGTTATTTATATAGATAGATGGATGGCTGGATGTGCTGCACATTGATAGTTTTATTTATTTATTAGTTTGTGTGCACAAGAGGATTATTCTAAACCTCGAACAGTAAATTTTTGCAAAGTTCTTAATCCTTCCCTCCCAAATTTTTTTGGAGCCTTTTTAGTAAAATTTAATAAATATCTATTAAGAAATATTTCTCCAATTAAATGATCCCAAGATAACACATGTAGGTTATGATAGCTGCAACAGGTTGAGATGAATCTAATGGTATATTTTATGTCTCTTAATTCACATTGAAATCTTATTATTATTTATGTTTTTTTTTATCTCTATAATTATTTGGAGAAATTGTAGTTATTTCAAAAATGGTTCACCCTTATGTGGTGAGTAGGATAGTTTCTTTTACCTATTAATGAAAACAAATCATACAAATCCTAAAATAAAATCAGCTTAAGGTTTTTTTTTCTATTTTATTTAGTAAATAGTTTTAAAAAGTCATAATGACCAAGTGATAAAGATGCAGTCAGAAATGACCCCGAGTCATCTACACGGGAATGTTAACAGGTTAGATTTTATCATTCAGTTTATAAAAGATCAGAATTGGACAATTTTCCTTTGATTTGCTTCAGATTTTGATTATATGCTTTTATAGAAATTGCCATTTGTTGGATGCAGAGCTGCTACATCCAAAAGCAGCCTGCAGCCGGTTCATTTGCTGATACGTGTTATCATTGGTGCTCCTAGAAAGCTACTTATCAGCAAATTGTTGTTGTAACATGGCTGTTTTAATCTCATCCTTCAGTTTTGTATTTTACACAAATATTTATTTAAAAATTATTTTATCCAACTGCAAGTTTTTTTAGATGTTCATAAAATTTGATATTTAAATCAACTGCAATAATGTTGATATGTTTTATGCCCAATCAGGTTGAACTAATAGTCCTCTTACTATCACAGCTGGAAAGTGGGGTTTGTAAAATAGCACCTACTTTTTGTTATTTGTTCTTGAATCTTTCAACACTCTGTACCTGCAGCACACTCTAACTTCTCCATATGAATTTAGGCTAAACTGTCTGCTTGAATCAATAACTGATCATGTAAGTCTGAGTGTTTGTCTTATAAATGTTCAATGCATTTTACTAAGGGTGTTATCGTTATTCTGATTCAGCTTAAACCCCCATATTATTCTTAAACAATCAGAAAACAATAACAGACATGAGAAACCAGTATTAAAAAGTATTGAGGGGGGAAAAAAGCGTTAGATAGTATATTTATGTATTTGATGTTGGCTGGTACTGAGGGTAGGGCTGCTTGATAGTAGGAAAAGATTATTTGCAAAGATGTTTAATAATTTTGATGGTTGTAACTCGGATTGTGTCCCAGAGTTCCCAGTGTAATATCAAGATGTGCTATAGTGGGGGGAAAAAAACCTCCTTTGCTTTAAACTGATTATATTCATTCAACGCTAGGACATAAGCCAGTAAGGTTTTCAACCTCCTCGTCTCCCTCTGCTGACGCAGAGTTTAGTGTATGAGATGCTAAAGTTCCCAGAAAGCGATGGAAATTGTAATTAAGAAAAAAAGCAGAGTTTCACCTCAACATTTACTGATTATGTTGTCATTCAGCTTTATCCTAATATGATCCATTTCTGCTTATGAATGTCTTCCTTTGAAGGTAGTTTAGGGTTATGCCAGCTGTCTTAGAGTGCAGTGCATATCCAATCATGTTGATGATGCATCACTGGTTAGTTTAGAATAACTAGTATTCTGGAGTGTTCAGATTTCTGGACCTTGGAGGATGTAAATGCCCAAACATAACCTAAGTTATGGAGAAAAACTTGCACGTGTGGCACCAGGCAATGCTTCCTTCTACATAATTCCTGTGAGGTGTCTGTGCTACCTACTATCACTGCACCATCTAGTTTATATCTCCCAAAGGCTGTGAACTGCCGTAATGTATTTCAGCTGAGAGCTATCTTTTAGTCCACACCAGTTTTCCTGCATTTCGTCAAAGTCCCCCCTCTGCAGTTAGCTGGGTCCCCACAGGCTCCGTTCCTGTTACTTGGATCAGTATCAGCTGCATGGGAAGGTCAGGCTGTCCTTGTATGATCAGCCCTCCTTCTGCTTGATGACGCCACTGCCCACTCTGAGCATCATTTCTGTGTGTCATCTGCACAAGCCACTTTTCACATTGAGTGTTTAATACATTTACAGTGTCTTACTTACACAAGCAATTGAATTAAGAGGGGGGTGCTGCTGCTCAGTTTTCTCTCTTATAAGTATTGAATCTTTGGTTTTGGTCAAAATAAATGCACACGATTGTAATCCTAGAGCATTTGCTCTACAAGGTACACTCAAAATCTAATTTGTTTTTATCCAACCAGGTGCTGCAAGTGTCGATGTATCTACTCTTAAAAGTAATTTAAATGCAGCATGACAGCCGCAGTTAACGCCTCATGATGAGCTGCAAAAGCTCATTGTCGTCCTTGCCACATGTTTGTAACATCTGATGCCTTCTGTGACTGTAGAGGGCAGCTGCCATGAGCCAGCTGGCTCCTCACATCCATTCAGTGTTTGTCTCTCATAAACACTGCTTCCGAATCTGAAATCAATCTAAAAACAAGTGGTAAAGAGATAAATTTGGCATCTTTTTTTTATGCAAGCAATTTATTTCCAAACCTCTTAAGACTCTCAGTCAAACCAGATGCCTTTATAAAGAGGATCCCTCCTACTCCTCTGAAATGTTGCTGTTTTTGTTTCTTTGCAGTAATGTTCCAACGATGCCGATAGTAGATAAACTCAAGGAGGCGTTAAAGCCCGGTCGGAAAGAGACAGGTGACGACGGTGACCTGAACAAGCTGCTGGCTTCTTCTGCCAAGAAGGTGCTTCTGCAGAAAATAGAGTTTGAGCCTGCCAGCAAGGGTTTCTCCTACCAGCTGGACAGCCTAAAGAACAAGTATGTGATCCTCAATCCCAGAACCGAGGGCGCTACGGGGCAGAAAGCAGCAGAGCCTGCTCAAATAAAGAGGCAAGGTGAGATTTCAAAGGAAGCTGAGTATGCTACAGTTTATTTGTTTAGATATATCATTTTAAGATAAAAGTCAGTCATTAAGTTCTTGTGCTGTGTTGTCCTCCTCCTTCAGCCTCTGAAAATGTGATCAGCAGCCATGGTGATGGGATCCCAGCCCCTCAGAAAATGCTTTTTCCTGCGAACAAGCTCAACCTTAAATGGGAGCGGGCTTACAGGGTGGGAGCTGGTCTTCACAACCTTGGAAACACCTGCTTCCTCAACTCCACCGTTCAGTGTCTCACCTACACCCCTCCGCTTGCCAACTACTTGCTCTCTAAGGAGCACAGTCGGGCCTGTAAGTACTTTTTATTTAGAGTAGTTGTGCTTTTATTAAAGCAAAGCAAAATCTAAATGCAATGCCATGTTTGAGTTTTCCTTTATCCTAAAGAATAGTATACTTCTGCTATTTCTTTTTTTAATTGTCCCAAATGTTAGAAACAATCGTTTAATTCCCCTTTACAGTTGCATTTAACTAAATTAGGGTAATATTAAATAAGCTAGATTCTTCAAGTAATTCTTTTATAAATGTAAAGGTAATTTTTAGGGTTATTTCCCACAGTGATGTATTTTGTTGTTTCCAGTTGCCTTTGCTAGTTATGTAATACTGAAAATCCAGTCTTAAAATATAACTGTTGCATTAAAAAGTGATTATTTATTATTTGTAAATACAGAAAGCTTATGCTATACTCTACTCACATGTCCAGTCATTGACACCTGACACAAGTAGGAAAAGCCACAGATGATTATTGCTGAAGAATGTAGCTCTTCAGAATGCTGTATTTAAGCACACTATTAGAAAGTTTAGTGGAAGGAAAATCTTCTAAAACTCCCTTCACAGGCTGCAGATTTATCTATAGTTATATAATGCAAATGTTCCAATTTTAAATAAAAATATTTTTGCTTATTTCTAGATCGTTTTTCCAGTGTAGTGCCTCCACATATGACAGTTTTTTTTGTTTGTTTTTTTTTATAGCTGGGTTGTTGCAAAGGGTGTTTACATGGGTATTTATATAGATAGATTATTCAATCAAATAAAAAAAGGAATTCTTCCTAATCAATTATTTAATAAGAAACTGTTTTCTTAAAATTTATATTCAAATTGGATTTAAATGTGTATTTGTGATTTCTATTTGTTTTAGGCCACCAGTCGGGCTTCTGTATGATCTGTGTAATGCAGAACCACATCATCCAAGCCTTCGCTAACACAGCCAACGCCATTAAGCCCGTCTCATTCATCAGAGACCTGAAAAGTAAGACCAGTCAGTCAGCACTTCATGCCTCTGTCTGAGCAGTCATGCTTTACGTTTTCAGAGTAGGCGGAGCCTATTCTGACATGTGGCGGAAACCATTTGGAGCTGCAGCAAATGACTTGAGTCGGTGGAAGTTTTGCATTAGCATACTGTAGTTTCACTAAAGTAAATCAGAATATCCCATTTTATGTGTTTAAGATATTAAATGATCTGAACATGACCAATGTTTACATGCCCTGTGGCTTATTCGGAACAGAAGCAGGTCAACATGCGCTTTATGTTTCCCGAAACTGAACATAAAATAACAAATGGTGCTTCAACGCTAAGAAAACAACCAATAGAGAAGTGTGTGGTTCTGTGTGTTCTGGTCACCCAGACCTGATCTGGGCGATTCCTATAGCGATTCAAACATTAATTCTTTCATTATTTAAGGTACTACTATTTAAAATGGAGCAGGTGTTACCCCACGAGTCATTAGATGGACGCCATTAGAACTGTTTAAGGACATAAACCACCCGAATCTATTCACAATATTGATTGGTCTGTTTCCTTGATACATTTTATTGTAATCAAGTCTTTATTTTAATGACTTAGGTAAACGTGCCTATTGCAGTCCAGAACCTTTCTTCCTCTGCTTTCTCCTCATGTGCTGCTGCAACCTTGTCTCTACCTTCTGCACCTCCCTCTTTCTCTCTCTCTCTCTCTCTCTCTCCCCTCTTTGCCTCCTTCCCCAATGCCCTTTCAGTCTCCTTGTGACTGCAGGCTTAGAGGAGCTGCTTTAGCACAAAATGTGCGAGCCACCTGCTTCTCCTCCCCTCCACCTGGGCTCAAATCTACCTTACTTTACATTTATTTATGCAGCTTCTTTAAAAGCCCTAAAGGCTCAAATAATTAGTCTGTCTTTGAAGAGAATCGGCCTCCAAAAACATAAGTTGTCTCCATTTAATCACCTTAAAGACAGGAAAAGAGCTCTGTAACAGATCTGCAGTGGCTATACCAATAAGTTATTCATTAAGAAAACACAAACCTATGACTCTCCCCCAGCTAATTTCTTCCCTTCTCTGCTGTAAGTGCCCAAGATTAGTCATAAGTGCATTGTGTCTTATTGCTTTTTCCCACTCCAATGTGACTCAGATCTGCATTAGTGAGTGATGCTCTGGTTCTGGGAATGTGATGATGACCACATTAGAAATCTGCCAGCTTAAAGTCTCCCATTTTTCCATTAGGAGACCACAGAAGGACAGACTTTGTAGCTACATTAGCCCTAATGCAGGGCTTTAGGTTGGATGGGATGCAATTTTATGAAAGCAACTGACTAAATGCCTTTTTTTAAAATTGGAAATGACTGTTAAAGCTGCTGAGAATGATTAAAATCATCTTTATTCGCCTATTAAAGAACATCTGTTCATTAGACCGACTGACTTCAATAGTATGAGAATAGGTTGTAAACCATCCGCTACCTTAGTTTTTATTTTAGTTTAAGTATATTTTTTTGTGTGTGTGTGTGTGTTTTGCGGAGATATATTTTTAGAGAATTAGCATGAAGTCACAACAAAGATTTATTTCTTAGCAGCTTGTATCTCTATTTCTTCATTAGTGATCAACTCATTCCGTGAGTCTCCCTTTTTACTTGTGTACACCTTTCTCTTGTTTTCTTAAACTTGACATAATAAAAATAAAAAAAATTTAATAATTAATAAAATTGATAAAACAAATTAAAGTGTCAAAGCTGTAAAATGCTTCTTTGTTTCTTATAGAAATTGCTCGACATTTTCGCTTTGGAAGCCAAGAAGACGCCCATGAATTTCTGCGATATACCATCGATGCCATGCAGAAAGCCTGTCTCAATGGATACCCCAAGTATGTTTATTTATTTACATTATTTGAGTTTTCTGGCTCTGTAAGCTGCTTTGTGGTTTATAACCTTCTTTCTTCCTGTTTTCTTAGACTCGATAGGCAGACTCAAGCCACAACACTCGTTCATCAGATCTTTGGAGGTTACCTCAGGTCTAGAGGTAGTTTTTTGCTTTGTTTTCTTCACACATTTAGCACCCTGCAAAAAATATTAAAAGTTTAAGGAGCTTTGATGTTAAGTCAAGCTGCAACCAGGACCCTCGGCATATTTTGGGTTTTTCAGTGATGGGCTGACTTTATTTTTTTTTATGTTTTAATAATAAGCTTGCCGTTGATTAACAGTCACACCTTCTATCTAGATACTAAATGGAACCTCATTTTGCTGCAGCTTCATCTCTTAGTCTTATTGGATAACTTTTTACTAGCTTGGCAAACGTAGTCAGGAATATTATAGACCACTTAGCTCCATCAGTCTTTTCCTCAACTGTGATGACCTTCCCTGTTCATGCTAAACAGATGAAACCCCACAGTATTATGCTGCCACTTTCATGTTAAAAAAAATTATTTTAGAGCAAATTTTATATAGGAAGTTCAGTCTTGGTTTTATCTTACTAGAGTGCTAGCTAGAGTCTAAATGAAAAATGGGTTGGCTTAAAATTTTGGGCTGAGATTATTATTGTTGTTATTTTTTATTTTTTTTGTTGTTGTTTTAAAAATATATGCTATTGGTAAATTACCTTACCTATGCTATGGTTCTCTGTTGCTCCAAGCATTACCAAGAACTTGCTTTTGACTTTTTCTAAGATGTTGAACCCTTTATTGTTATATTGATTGGGTTTTAGAATAACGTGTTCTAAATAATATTTAGCTCCACAACCATCAGATTTGAACTAAAATAGGTAATTTAACCACCTGTATTGCTTTTCTTCAATTTCCTTAGTAGGCCCTTCTTTTATGTTGTTTTTTTCTCATCAAACTCCAGTGAAAACATTGAAACCTGTTATTGTAGCATGTCACTTTATGTAAAAGTTCAGTTTGAATACTTTTCCCATGAACTGGAGATTTCATCCAAAGTTAAATTCCTCATGAGTAAAACACATAGTTTGCAATAAAGCTTTTCTGATTCTGGTTTCCTTGTTGCCTCTAAATCATATTTTTCTTTGCTTTCGAGGATGTGAATCTTTGATTGCACCTTATTTATCCTGGAATCGTTCTCAGAATAAGATTGTATTTTTCTTTCTGCCCTTCAGTGAAATGCTCCATCTGCAAGAGCGTGTCAGACACATACGACCCTTACCTCGACATTGCTGTAGAGATCCGGGTTTGTTGCACTTTTTAATGACACCTTTATTTCCATATAGATGAAAATGTCAATTGGTGTCGTATTAAATATGTGTGTTGTGTCTTTTAGCAAGCAGCAAACATAGTACGAGCCCTGGAGCTGTTTGTCAAACCAGACGTTCTGAGTGGGGAGAATGCCTACATGTGTGCCAAGTGAGTACCTTGTGTTTAACTTGCTTGGAAATACCCGAAGGGTTTGAGGAAATGTTGGACTTAAATTGCAAACATGGATTCTGGAAAGAGGTGATTCTAAATGAGTTTTCTTCAGGTGCAAAAAGAAAGTGCCAGCCACCAAGCGCTTCACCGTCCACCGAACCTCGAACGTCCTCACCCTTTCTTTGAAGAGGTTTGCAAACTTTAGTGGAGGAAAAATCACTAAGGTTAGCAGCACTTTTTCTTTTATTATTGTTATAATACTTTGGGAATGTATTATATAGGTGATGGGCTTAATAAAGGGAGATGGATGGTTTAAGAGAGCAACAGAAAAATATAAAATATGCACAGCTGTTTTTTTTTTTTGGGAGGATTTTTATCTTGATCAGCCTCAGCCAGCAGGTCAGAAACTTTAAAAATCAGAAATTTAATTGAATTAATTGATCCAGGTTGTGCTGAAAACTAGGGGAAGGAATCCTAATGCATTATATAACTTTGATGGGACTTTAATGAAATGTTTTCCAAAGCATGGGTCCATACGCATGCTGTAAAGTTTCTGTATTTAGGGGTTTGAATTTGTTTTTTAAACCTGATCCATTGGCGTCTCTTACACCTATGCTGTCATTTGTAGTTTTTCCATTTGGTTTTGTTCGTTTGCTGTTCTTTTTATTTTATCTTCAATGTCAAATATTTAATTTTAAGTATGCAATTTTTTTTTTTTTTTTTTTTTGATAACTCCTCAGTTTTACTTCTCTTTGAAGTGTTTTGCCCATTCATTTAGTCATTTAGTTTTTATTTTTATTCTTTTTCATGTTTAATAGTTTTTATATATGATAACATGATATTTCCTATACTCTTTAATATACATGTTTGCGTTTGACACTGACATACCTGAGTCCACCAACTGTGGGATAATGAAGGGATATGCTATTCTGCTCTACTCTATGCATACCAAAATGTTTACTACACCTCCTTGTCCCACCGTCTGCAGTTAGAGGAGTCAGGACACACACAGAGCAGGCAGGATGCAGTAGCCACCCAGGACACATTCATCACACCTTGTGTCGCCCATTGGGGGCGTCCCAATTACAGGACCCAGAACAGCCACCTCAAGCAACAAAGGCCTGCCGTGTTCTTACCTTTTTAAATATTCTGTCATATAATTGGTCCTACCTGCTATCAGTGGGGCCATACATGCTTAGAAAAAATGTTTTTAACATATTAAAAATTAGCGTTAAGTGGAACTGGTATCAGCAGGTCAAAGTTTTTATTCATTTATTTAGTTGTCATATGGGGTCTGTTAAATTTTGAAAATCAACCACCGTAGTGTAAACCAGCCTTTACTAGAGCTGTTTATTCCAAGACCCAGTCGTTAATATTCTGATTAGTAAATAAATGGACGGATGGTTTTATGAATTTTTTATTTTCTTTTGTTTATAGGAAGTTGGTTATCCAGAATTCCTAAACATCCGCCCGTACATGTCTCAGAGCTCGGGCGACCCAGTTATGTACGGTTTATATGCAGTCTTGGTGCATTCTGGCTACAGCTGTCATGCTGGTCACTATTACTGCTATGTGAAGGTAGGCTTAAAATATGAGTGTGGATGTCCTTATTTTGTTTTATATTTAAAGGAAATTATACCTTGTTTAAATTTAATTCTTCCTACTCTCCTTATAGGCGAGTAATGGGCAGTGGTACCAAATGAATGATTCAATAGTGCACTCCAGTAACATCAAAGTGGTTTTAAACCAGCAGGCTTATGTGCTTTTCTACCTGAGGTAAGACAAATAAGACCGATCAAAACGAATGTCTGTACAGGGACCATATTCAATTATTTTCCATCTGATTGCATAATGAAGGATCCCCGAGTCCAAGAAGAATGCAGATGGGCAGAGCATCAAACAGGGAATGTTGCATGGCAAGAACAGTGCGTCATCCGAGCAGATAAAGAGGGCCAGCTTAAATGGGCCTCTGTCTTCGCCGCAAGATAGTAAGGTATTAGAACATTGTCTGAAATAGTCTCATCCAGCTTCTTTTTCATTTCAATGGGAATGAGTTGCCTTCAATTAACTCTCTGCAGAAACTGGAGCCTGCACAGCTGCGTAAGATCCACTCTATGGACGGCGGCCTGGGTTTGCCCATTTCAAGGAACGGCGTCACCTCTCAGCCGCAGCCCAGACTCTCACACTGGACGTCGTCCTCCAATGGCACGGCCAAGGTGCCAGGTGGACCGACGGTCATAGAGGAGCCTTTCAAGAAGGTTAACAAGCCCTCTCCTCAGAGCCAGGCGCAGTCCCGCAGCACCACGCCGACGCCTCCTAACAACGGGGTTGGGAGGACGGAGGGGGAGAAAAAACAGAGCAGCGACGGCAGAGGGATGGCAGCATCTACCTCATTGAAGTCCTTATCTGACTCTTCCTCAGCTGACACCTCTGACTCAAAGGTAGAATAGCTACAGAAAATGATTTCATGTAAAGGTTGAAGTGTGATTTGGCTAGAAAATGGATCACACTATGACTTTTTCATGTTGGCCTCTATCTGTAATTATTGATTTTGTTTTTTTATTTTTTGAAACAAAAACAGGGAAAGCTTTAAATTGTAACTTAAATCCTATTTATACGTAGCTTTTTATCTTTATTGTCTCATGATGCTGGTCAAATTGGGACTAGAGCCTTCCAGAAAACAAAATTACACAAATCTAACTGCTAAAGCTCAACATATTTAGGTGTGGACGTTAGACATTAGGTAACAGAAACAGGAGCTGAACCTGCAGTCTTCTTTCCTTTGGCCAGGAGTCTGTGGGTCCGAAGAGTGAACCAGTGAGAGACACACCCTCTACTCCTCGTAAGGGTTCCAGTAGATTGGGATCTCCGGCCCGCAGCGTGGAGCGCTCTCAGAGCACAGAGGAGCAGAAAACGGGTAAATTAAAACCCCCGGCACTCAACAACATCTCATCTGAAGCCACCAGCACCATGTCCCCACCTCCTGCCAAGAAACTGGCTCTCTCAGCCAAGAAGGTACGTTTTTTGTTATTTATTGTTTTTAATTCCTGACTAAAAATCAAGACAAATATTTAATTTTTTTCTGGTTTATGTATTAAATAATTTCACCTGCTGTATCTGTCTAATCAACCATGTTAGATTTTCTCTTCTTTTTCTTTAGCTCCTCTTTTTTTCTAACCATTTCTAATTCTTCTCTGCCACACCCTTTCTTCCTTGCATTCATCTGTCCATCCTCTCCCGCCCTCCCTTCAACACCTGTTTTCCTGATATGATTTTTCATTTTTTATTTATTTATTTATTTTTTTTGTCACACTCATGGCTATTTTTCTTTAGACCACCAAGTTTTTATTTATGTCAATAACTGCAGGCTTACAGTCAGAGTCTGAGCAACATTGATGCTCCACGCCATTCGCCAAAGCTGGAGCCCACCGACCCCATGCATCGCAATCAACTTAAATCCCCTGCCATCGCCTCAGCCAATCATAATGACAGGTATTTCAAAATCTAGATTATTTGTCTTGATTCCTAAATGTCTTGCTCTGGAGCTATATTTTTGTTCATTTTCTTTCCAGAGTCAGTCCATCAAATCCTCCTAAAGCCCAGATATCACTTTTTGCCCCCTCATGTAGACCATTAGCACAGAAGAGCCCTCAGAAACAGCCACTTTTCTCCACGTCGCAAAAACCAAAAGCCAGCCTTTCCCACAAAACCAATGGCCTTCACAGTCCGAACCTTCTGAGACCCAAGTCTTCCAGCAACCTCAGCCCCACAGCTCAAGAGCCAGACCTCGACCCTCTGGCTCCAAATGTCAGCCCAAAGAAGAAGAAAAAGAAGAAGAGACGGCACTCTGAGGTGGAGGGTGACACTGAGAATTTTACATCTCTAGAAACACAACCAGCCCCCACAGAGTCGGTGCATGAGAAAAAGAGCAAGAGGAAGAAGAAGAGGAAGCGAAAACATGAAGGGGATGATGAAGAACAAGCAAAAGGGAGGGACTGCATCCAGTCTCATTTGGAGGGATCTAATCAAGAGGAAGATTGGTGTCAGAGTGGCTTATGGAGTCTAACGTCTCATTCGGAAGTGGAAACCTCAAAGCAAACGGTTCCACTTTCTCCCACTAGCCCGAAGCAGAGCGAGTCGATTCAGGAGGAACAGGAAACTGACCCTGTGAGGAAAAAGAAGAAGAAGAAGAGGAGACTTAAACTGGAGGAGGATCTGCAGAAAATAAACTCTTCCTGCTCCGCATCAGAAAGGTGAGTACATATTTTTAAAGTTATGTCATCAGTTTTTTTTATTAGGTTTTCTATATCGAACTGTCAGCTTGATCATCCACTTTGGCTTTCAGCAAGCTTTAAGCACTGCTTTAAACTCACGCCCCTGCTAGAGTTGAAAAATTACTCAGCTCTTCATAAAGTGCTGTGCATCAGCTGCTCCTCTTTATAAATGTTTAATTCGCCGTGCCTCGTAAATTGGAAGATGCAGGCAGATATGTTGCCTTTTCATGGATTTGTAACAAATCTGCTTTGTGCTTCAACAGGGATCCTGAGATGAAACCTATAGATACGTCTAATGATGTAGAAGATTTAGTGAAGATAAACATTAAATTGAAAAAGAAGAAGAACAAGAAAAAGCTAAATGCGTTGCAAGAGGAGAGAAAAGGTTCTGAAGATGAGTCGGCAGAAGAACCTGTCTTCAAAAAGATCTCCACTGAGGACAGGAAAATTTCCAAAGAAAGTACAGGTGAGCTTTAAATTCTGTGTTAATGCTTATGATTCATCTTTAACAAATTTGAAAGTTATTGTAAGGAATCACATTTCCCCTAAAAGCTTTTTTAACAATATGGTTTTTGAATTTTTCTCTACCATAGAGTAAAATCAATTTATACTCGATTTTGGAAAACAACAAAACTCTTTGTCTATGTTGACTTCTCATGGCAACCATAATATAAAATTTAAAATTAATCTCTCCAAATGTGATTATTATTAATTTTTTCCTGTTCAGGTTTGATTAGTGTTTAGTTTTATATACCTTTTATTGTGATTGGCTGTATTGTGCGGCACCTTTTGGCCAAAATTTTAAAAATTAACAACGCTGGTGTTGTGATCCAGCTTTGAACCAAAGGGTAATTGCTCACTATGTTTTACCAGGCAGCATATCATCTGAGTTCCTTTTTCTTTCTGATGATCTTAAGCCTCAGTGGTGGTGTGGGACAGCCAGGTGAAAGACGGCTACAAACACAGCAAGGCGCCAGCGGCTGGTGGAAGTGCTTCAGTGAAAAGCTCCGTCCACGTTGCTCCTGCTGCCTGGGACGGGAAGAAGAGCAGTGATGTTGTGGAAGAGCTACTCAAGAACTCCACGGATAAAGCCTATGGAGCGAACGGTGAGAAAGAGCCGTGTGAAATGAAGTCACGAGGTTGGGACAGATTTCGAGGCGCTTTAACAGGTTTTTTATTGTTTTGGGGGTTTTTTTTCTATCCAGTCCTCAGCTGGGATGGTGAAGTCTCAGCTGTCAGTAAGGATGCGATCGAAGACGTCCGTAGTGCCATGTGTGACACGGTGATTGACGAGTGGGATGAGGACTTTGACAGAGGAAAGGTATGGAAAGAATGAATGCAAATAAGAGTTGAACAGAGGCTCCCAGTAGCTGAAACATCCCTCTATGTTTTTTTAATTCGAAACAGTCATAACCTGATGTTTTACGTATGCAATCCATCCTAAATTGGTGAAATTCATTGACCAAAGTTAAATAAGCAGTGTTTGTTAGCAGCCTTTAGTGAGCTGTGTCAATCTAGGGAAGGACCAAGATCACACTTTATGAAGAGCTGCTCTCAAATAAACGCACGCCACTTTAACACTTCTGACTGACAGGATTTAACTGAAGCCCAACACCACCACACACTTTTTAACCCCAACTGGGTTAGG